ACCTCGAGTAAAGTTCAGCTGGTCAAGTAGGGGGTTTTCAGACATTTATCATTGTAGCATCTTAAAACAAAAGCTGGTCCATAGAAAGCTTCAATATGTTCTGTTAAATGTTGTCTATGTCAGAGAACTGGCAAAATTATGAAGGCATACAGTAGTAACATTACCAATAACTAAAAAGAAACTGATTAAAAGGCTTAGGCTGAACTGCACAATTGCATTGTTTCTTTAGTTTAGTATGAATCATGCAATTTGCATCTGGGCGGGAGAACGAAAAGAACATGAAATAGACTTGCTCTGAGCAAGTAATAACACAGGTAAAATAATTAGATTTAAATGCTGGACAGACTGTAAAAGAATTACCCTTTTTTTTTCCTTACCACATGTGGTGAAAAACAAAAAACAAGAGGACACAAGACTGGTGCAAAAAGTAGGTATGCACTATATAGGGTACATGAGGCACCACACTACAGGGTGCACCAAATCTGCAGTCTGATAATCATTTCTAGTCAGCCATTATAGCATGTAACAGTTGTGTTTTGCATGTTTTATGATCAATAACAGAGGAGCTTCCCTGAATATGCAACTTAGTAGTGAAATGAACATTACAATTTATAAAGTGATCAATATGTAAACAGTGCTGGAGAAAACAAAAACCAGTTTAAAGACATGGTGCAAAAGGCATTAAAGGGGTCATAGAATGATTATATAGGGTATTTGGTGCTGGTCCTTAAGGTCTCTGAATCGGGTGTGTAACATTGTTTGGGCTGAATATGGCATATTTGCTGCTCTATGAGCCCAAATGCAAGCCTGGTTGTAAGTCCCTTTATGGTATACTCATGAATATTTAGATGAGCTGTGCGCTGATTGGTTGGTTTACAACGAGCAAAGCTGCAGATCAAAGTCTCATCATAGCAACAAGCACTCGCTCACTGAAACATTAAATTGTTGATATGGTAGGGTGACCAGACGTTCTCTTATTTCTGGACATGTCCTACTTTTCATACCTAAAAAAATGTCCGGGGGGAATTTCAAAATCTTCCGGGATTTTGTGCAGCACATAGTCGAAACACACCGAGCATTCGAACCGATGGCTGTTTCGGGATCTGGCTCTGCCCTCACTGGTTCCCTGTTTCTAGAAAACGTTCAGGCTTCCGTGAGAAAGCTAAAGATGAAAAGGAACCAATAAGAATTCAACCTTTAGAAATTAAATAACAGTTGCACAATATATCCGGTCAAATCTGGTCTGCTATGCTCTATTGCCATTGCAAATACTAAGTGCTAAGAGGCTATATTTGGTTGGATGCTATAATCCAGGCTGAATACATATGTGCATTGAATATTCATAATTGGCAAAGTGAATCTAAGTCCTGATTGACATGCACAGCTGAGAGTCAATCCAGTACTAAAGCTCACAGGATTGGGGAAGATGTTGTATAATTGTTAGGAAAGAAAGAGGAAATGTGTCAGAATCAATGTCTTCAATGTGTTATTATATCACTCTTATTGATTTACCTTATATTGTGCAACCCTAACTTATGGCAATTTTTTAAAGATGATTGTGCAAATATTGTCAAATCAAAATGTGTCATGCTGAAATGAACTATTATGATACCTTCCTGCAAAAGGATGTTTGTTTTGTTTTTTTCTGCAGCTGTAGAGAATGTAGCTCACATTAACAGCAGCAAAGGTTATTTTATGTTTTTTCAACACAAAATCCTAGCATTTTAACAGGGGTGTGTAAGATTTTAATATCAAATGTAGTTGGTAGTTAAGCTAAGACATGGATGTTTTATTTATTCATTTTTTATTTTTAATAAAGAAGCCAAAGTGCCTGAAGCATTAAGAGCAATCAAGTCAGGGACTGCATTTTTCACAAGTAACTCCAATCATCAGTCATCTTGGCAACATACAAATCTTGGTTTGACATTTTGACATGCTGTTACGTATGCCATGGTATTATGCCTAAAGTGGTGCATGCTTAGTTATACAAACTACGGTGAGTCAGGATCACCCCTTTATATAAGGAGGAAGAACAAACAAAGAGAAAAACTGATTTTCAGACAGATACAGGCTGTTTTTGGAATAAAATATAAAATAGTTATAACTTCCTTTTATTTCTGAAAGCAGCTTTCTTTTTTAACAGCGCTGCTTTAGCTCTCAATAGTATGTGCCTCTGGAATTCCACTCTCTTTTTAAGCCAGCAAACAGCTTCTGAATCATCCATCAATAGTGCCCACATTCATTTGATAACTCCTCGTTTGGCTATAGCTTAAAAGAACAATGTGTGTTTATGTCTAAGAACTCCACAGAGGAGGATGACATTTTCACAATCAATAGACGGTGAAATGGCAACTGGCCAAGATGTCCCAATGTGATCACCCAGGAAATTCCGGACCTACTCAGTGAGCCCTTCCCGATGGGGCAGCTTGGAAAGCCTCCAAAGGACTGGACCCAGAATACATTTGGATCAGATTTTCGAACCACCTCAACTGACTCCTTCTCATGCACCAGTGTAAGTTGGACCATTAATAGAAGGTAAATAGGAGACATAGTCTTTCTAACTTAACTCTTTCTTTATTACAAAAGGGGCCTTGTCTCTGAGTGTTTCTTAACCTTCAACTCTGTCCAATCAATAGTTCTTCTACCATTATTCATGAACAAGACACAAGGATCTTTGAACTCCAATGCTCTATATGATTTAGAGATTGACTGCTTAGTTATTGTTAGGAACCACGGCCTTAATCTTAAACCATCCGTGTAGACACCCCAACCACTGTCAGAAAGATGATCAACAGAATCTGTAAGTAAAAATGTGGGTGTTTGGGGGGCATATCTTGAATTTGATTTCTTGGGACCTTGACCAAAATCCTTTATTAAGGGAATTGCGCATTAGCTTCTGTTAAGATTCGTGTTTGTGCACTAAACAGCACTACAGCAGTATAAGCCGTTCCACATCAGGGTGAGGAGCCACTCAATCTTGACACAGTTGATGTGAGGAAGACACCGAGGAGAGTCAACCCAAGGAAAGCCCCAGGCCCCGATAACATACCTGGGTGGGTGTTCATGGATTGTGCAGGTCAGCTCGCTGGTGTTCTCACAGACATTTTTAACGCCTCTTTGGAACAATCCATAGTGCCAGCATGCTTTAGGTCTGCCACCATTATTCCAGTCCCAAATGAGCCTCAGGTCACCTCACTAAATGACTACTGGCCTGTGGCACTGACTCCCATTATGATGAAGTGCTTCGAAAGGCTGGTTAAGGAACACATCATCTCCAGTGCAATACTATAATATAATACCAGAGAAACTTGTTCCATGTTGGACAGCTATTGTTGGGGTACTGCTATGATTTCCTTTGTAAATAATCATAAAAGGGGCTAAAACCAAAAGGAATTCTACAGTCTAAAACAACACAAAAACATATATATTACAATCTAACAATAAAAAGAAAAAATAAACAAATTGCAAACATACCACAGACGTTTTACTTAATCCTATGGAATCATATTTTACCTGGCATTATTTTCTTATCCAACAGTTAATCTGAAACACCTTCATCCATTCTGAGTCCATGTATCACACAGGAAGATCTTTGGAGGCGCAATGCATTCAAACAACATTTCTTATGTTGACATGATTATTGGTTGGTCTCTATAAATTATCCGTAGGTGTGTGCAGGTGTATGTATTCATGGCTGGATGGATGGACAGACGGAAAGGTGAATAGTTTTAAAGCTACATAGTTATATTATTTATCATATGTAAGACTTATATGCCAGTATATAACCCCAGACCCTCTGGTGTCCCTCCCCCAAATTGTATTTAACCGCAGACAGTCCCACAGATAGCGTCGCAGGGAGGAGAGAAAGGAGGTCTGTGATTGGTCAAATCTACATCGGCTCTACACTATGCGTATTTCCTGTTTGGTACATTACCAGCGTGTTTTGTTTGTATGACCACCATTGAGGAAAACGACTCGTGAAGAGGGAACAGCCAGAAGAGCGAGGTGCGCAAGAATGCTGGGACTCTTTTTCGCCCTCATGTCCCTCCATTGTCGCACAAACTTGCCCCTTGCATTTTTCCACTTCCTCCTCCCTAGGCTGAATCTGGACCCACAGCTAGTTTGTGATCGCCCTTCTTGTGTTGTGGCATGGAATAACACAGCGCAGACCACACTTCAAAATTAGGTATAAATCAAAGATATTTGCGTCATACGTGTGACGAGTTCACTGCGGGAGTATACGCAGCCCTTTATTCTGGTTGCATACAATGTGTTTTGGTGAAATGAAGGTGTCCTGCTGGTAGAATTTGTCATTTTTGTCTTTAAAGCATTGTTTTTGCTCATTTTGTTAGTAGATATACCCGTTCTGTGTATGTTCCTCCAGGCTGTTGGTTTTCCACAAGGTGTCACAGCACGGTCAGTACTTTTTTTAGCAGTATTGTCAATCACCACCATCTGGTTTTTAAGTAGTTCTGCTGTACTGCCAGTAGATGGTGCCACATCTTTTTATGTCACTCATCAAGCCCTGTGCTGAGGTGCTATTTAGGCTCAATAAAGGACAATAAAAATATTATTCGGATTGCTGTTTATAGTATTTTTTTCAGTATCTTTACTTTTTGGTAGAGGCATATAACATGACTATTTACCTTTAAAAGAAAAACTAAACTTCTGTGGAATTGAATAAATTAATTTCTTGTATGGTTTGTTAATATATAAAAAAAATGAAAAGAAAAAAAAACATTTACAATGTGATGACTACAAAAATACATTAACAATGTTACAGGAAATTAAGGAGTTAACTGTTAGGTCATTCTGTTGGGAATTCTAAATTAGTTATATTATGAAGAAAAAAGGGAAACTGAATTATCTGCATTTGTTATTAGTCAATTTTGAAGAAAATCCTTAGCAATAAACAACTTTTAGCAAATTTTGAACTAATTGTCAAAGTTTTCAAGAGTTAGTTTGAACCCAAAAGATGCAGACCACTAGTTTGGGCTCTTTCTGACTAGTTAGGATCAGCCTCCAAGACCAAAAGATCTGGATTTGAATTAAAAGAAGCTGGCAAGAGAGTAATATACAGCAGATAACATATCTACAGCTGATACTTTAGCCCAATCTCGCTTCACATACCTTAAACTATCCCCTTAAACAGCTGCTATTCAGTGTAATCAAAGCAGAGTGTGCCTTTGAAAAGTAGGAGATTTATCAAAGTTTTTTAATAAATAGTTTTTCACTAGAGATGCTAAAACATGTAACAGTATAAAACAATGTCCACCTAGTTTAGAACACGATATGCAGGAAAATAAAGCATAGTAAAATGAAATGAATGTGGGTGCCTTTAAGAAAAGCTTTACAGAATTTATAGCAGTTTTACCAATGCAGACAGTTTTTCTGTCCAACTCAGATACAGAGTATAATTGAATGTTTGCATATATGATTTATGTATCCACCCAGCAATCATAAAGTTTATAAAAATCAATATCGTCCCCTAAAAGCCAACTAGAAAATATTAGAAAGACATTCCTAATATTTCTGTAAAGTTTGGTTTTTGTTTGCGAGCAGACCTTATTAAAAAGACTTCACATTGAATTTAGATTACATTTAACAGACAGCAGTTAAGGTGTACAGGAGGCACTCTAGGAATCCATGGCAGACAAAATGGGATTAATTCTTTTAAACAGTATGTGAAGTTTTTAAACTCCTGTTCCCCCGGTCTGTTCTGCCTCTTGATGCATTATCCATCTCAATACCTTCTTCCTCATTCTCCAGTTCCAGCTGGTCGTCTTTCTTCTTGATGTAACGCTCGTAAAGCACCATGACGACACCCATCAACCACGCCGACACAGTCCCGGCGGCGAAGATCACAAAGCCAATGACGACGAAAAAAAGGTAGTCCAAAGAGTCCAGCGACTGGTGACATAACGTCCGCAGCTGAATGCCCACCTCACTCAGACGGCGACCTTGCATGTCAGCAGGTGATCCACATACCGTCTGGCCCTCATCTGTCAAACAGAGACACAAACAGAAAAGGAGTGATGATGATCAATCTTAGGAAAATGCAATCCAACCAACTCAGGTGATAAAAAGCCTGGAAAACAGTCAACAACATGGCAACACTTTTTTTTTCCCCAGTCCACTCCTTCAAATGGCACGCAAAAGCATGTAATCTGCCCTGAAATTATACCATTTGAAGGCAACAGATATTCATTTATAACAATCTGTGGGTAGAGCACCCAAAGATTTTATGGGAGTACAAGTAGAAAGTAGCACTCCAAGGAAATACTCAATTAAGATTAAAAATATATTTGGTCAAATGGCTAAGTTGTTGAGTAATTGTGGATTCAAAATCAGGGGCGGTGCTAAAGGGGTGCTAAAGGGGTGGCCATGGCAGTGTCCTCCTACGGCCATCCCAATCTGGTGATATGATCCATGATATTTCAGTTGTTACTATATTAACGTTAAACTGACAACAAAATTACAGTAATAATTCAAAATGCTAAGATAGAAATAAAAGAAGACATAATGAAAATCCATGCTGTTTTCAGAACTAGGTATTATGCTTTATGTGGAAAAGGAGAAAATTCAGTGTTATTGCAAAAAGTATTCTATAAAATCAGTGAATAACAAACACTTCTCACCCATTCACCCTACCTATTATGCAAAACCATAACCAATTTAAACAACATACATGTATGAATATGTTTGTAGATTTAGTAGTGAAGCCTTTATGAAAATCTGGTCTTGCTTCATTGATTTATTTAGTAAATCAATGAAAAGTTTTTTCATGGGTTTTTAGTTGTGACTCACTAAAAGTCAGATTAAATCTGGCTTTATTCAATATAGCATATGTCCCTTTTTTTATTTGACTACTTATACACTTTTCTGTAATTGCAACAATGCCACTGATCAGATATATTTTTGCCTGGTAATGCTTTGATACACTCAAACCTTCAGTAGATAATGTTTATAATTTATAAATAAAAAAAACACATCCACAGTACATCGAGACTGGTGCAGAATAAAAGTATTAATTTACTAAAATTGCAAGATAATGTTTATAATTTATAAATAAAAAAAAACACATCCACAGTACATTGAGACTGGTGCAGAATAAAAGTATTAATTTACTAAAATTGCATTTACTAATTCTTCTGTTAGTCTATAAGTCACGGAATGGATCAGCACCTCAACACATAACTGATTTGTTGTCAGTGTATCAACCTCCCACATCACTCAGGTCATAAAAAAATATTTTTATGTTAATAAATGTTTTCTCTGTGCTGAAGAAGAAGATAATTCTGCCCGGGCATGTCATTTCCTTTAAGGGGATGTCAGAAGAAGAGGCTGGGGTTGGTAGAAAATATAATACTTGATTAACATTGTATTTGCATGAAAACTAACCTTTTAAAGAGAGGGTGAGCATAAAACAGGAGACCTGAGGTAAATTAGATATGACCACAAAGGACTCAACCTGGTAGGAGAAAAATATAATTCAGTCCAGATGAAAGTTCAGCTTATCTGTCATTGAAGATGACACCAGGAACCAGGAGAAGAAGGAAAAAAAAAGATTTTTAAAAAGTTTTTTTTCATTTCAATTATGAAATATTATCTTGTAATTATGACATCTTATCTCGTAAATTATGAGATAAGCTTTCTGATTTTTTATGTTTTTGGGTGATTGCAATACGCTTTATTTCAAGTAGCAACCGGGCGGTCCAAAACCAGTTAGACAAATTTCATAAATGTCATTCACGACCAGGTAAAGGCCAAAACACACCGTTTACATCCTTTAATGTTTCTGTCATACGGGCTGTGTAGCGGGTTCCTTAAGGACCACTGGACCGGTGAGATCAAGTATTCACAGGACAGTATGTAATATAAATTCCCTAAGCATGAACAAATAAACGTAAAATCTGCTATTTCTGCTCTTACAAGCTCAAAGAAGATCACTGTTTTTTTTAAGTCTGTCTACCTGCTTTACATGCCCTATAAGTCAGAGGCTTGTTTTTGTATTTTCCTCAAAGTTTGAGAGACTCATGCAATTCCCCTCAAATTTCTGCAGAGTTACAAGCAGCTAACCAGGACCCAACCTATTTTAATTGTTATCAGCATCATGCAATACGATGCCATTTTCTATTGCAAAGCATGCAAAAAGGGGTCCACTCTGTTTAAAACAAGTAGTAAACAATTTCTTCTCCCCCTGGATTTTTTATATGTGTATATATAAGGAGCTTCACTGTACACATAGTTTGCTGAATTGGTTCTGCTCTTAATTTGTTGCCTAGGATATTTTATACTGAAACAGTTATGCTGAATAAATGAATTTGTCCACATTGAATAAAACTAGTTGTTTGAGCAAATTTCCATTTAAAAGTCATGTTGTTGTTAGCGTGGCCAATGGTTTTATCATCACAACAATCAAAACAACTCTGTGCTCTAGACACAGAAAAACAAACATTAATTAGCATATAAATCTAAAATAATCTTTGAGTGAGAAAACACCTGCAAACTGTGTTCAAATTATCCACAAAAAAGTGCAGTTATCTTCACAAGCATTAAAATTCTGCCTTCTTTATCAGAACACAGCAGAGCTTTAGGGGCTTTCTGTGTTCTCGAGTCTTAAGTTAATGCGGCACAAAATTCTCACCAAAAAAAAAAATGAATTATGCAAACTCCTTTTCCCCACACAGGATTACAGAGTGACTTGGGGTTTTTGTGTCTGCCTGAGAACGCTGATAACAATGTTTCTCATCACCAGGTATTAGCTGGACCCCAACTAAGACCCGGAGAAATTCACAAATCCGGACTAAACTTAACTTTTTCCTTTTTTCACATAAACTGGATAAAAATACATTAAATCCAAAGGTGTCTCAGACCAAATGAAATACACATCATGATAGATATGATGGTTTATACCAGCTAATCGAAAAGCCGTTTATTAATGACTTTGTTGTAGAAGAATCAAAAACCAAAACATGTCTCAGTGCTGCCTATTTCCACTGCTGGTATTTGGCTTTTTTATATATTTCCAAGGCTTTTGTTGTTATAGATCAAAAGCTATGAAATTCTCCACAGTGGGAGCAGTCTCCTAGAGCCTAATTTTTTGTACCCACACCTTCAAGTTACACAGTTTCATGTATGGGAAAAGAAGATGTTTGGGACTTAAATGAAGATCTGCTGCTTTAAGCCTTTGGATGCAAAAAAAATCCCCAAAACTTTCGGGATAATTTAAAACAGACTGCAACTAATTATTTGAATTTTGTACAAAGCAGCCTACATAAGCAGCTTATTACTATTCTTTAATTAAAAGACTACTAATTTTACTTCCTTTTTCTATTTCTGCTTGTAAACCAGGAATACTTTGCTTCAACCTGTTATTAAGCTTCTTTCATTATTCTCACACTGGTACGTTACCTTTAGTCAAAAAATCCTAACTATGTTATAATGGTATTAGTTTGCACACAAACTGGTATTTTGCTAGATTCATGCATCTCTGTGTAACCCTATGGAGTTCTGCTACCTGAGGAGCATCCCCTCCATGTCCTTTGAGAACAAGCAGTTGAAGATTAATAAGGCTCCCATCAATCCTTATGTGTACCCATATGCAGCAGAATAATGACCCAAACCATCAACAAAAACTTAAAAGTTAGACTTGAAAAACTTAATTACATAGACGGGAAATGCTAAACAGTATCAGAGAGGATCTAGATGAATATTTAGCATAGCACAGATCTAGATAAGCTGCATTCCAGTTTCACTCAGAAGTAAGAATATCTACAGAAGTGTATTGCATTCACCAAAGAAAAAAAAATCTGACAGCTTGTCTCATAATTACGAGATACCAATCTTGTAATTATGAGATCCTGATCTCAGTATTATGAGATCTTGTCTCATAATTACAAGATAGGATGTCATAATTATGAGATAACATGTCATATTTAGGAGATCAGGACGGACAGTCATTGCTGAGCTACGCAACATGAAACATGATTGTCGGATTTAAAATGCTTTTATTTCCTTTTAGGTATGCAACGATGGGAAATACAGAGTTTACTCAATGTGGATGGAATTAGTTTTAGTATGTCAGCATTGTGCAGTAAGTCCTTAGAACTGTTTAGGGGGAAAAGCTCACTCTGACTTGCTGGAAATCACAATGTTCTTGCAGAAGCATTTAAACCAGCACAGGATGCTTTTATGGTTATAAATGAATGCATCTGAAATCTATTCCAGCTGGTTTGGAGGTGTCCCTAGGAACTGTCCACCGGTACCTTCTCAAAATCCTAGATCCGCAAAGAGTACAGCTGACGCTTCAGAATCGTTTAAAACAACCAGGTCACAACTTTATGTGGCATGTCGATTCATATGAAAAACTAAAACCATAAGGAATCTGTATTAATGGAGCTGTTGACGGATTTTTGCGTACAGTATTATGGCATGCTTACTCCACAAGTAGTAATCCCAGGGTTATAGCTGGGTACTTTATTGATGAAGTGAAAAACAGGAGCGGAATCGTCGCGTATCATCAGACCTCAGTACAGAGAACTGTTCAGTAAGTAATCATGAAGACCAGTTTTCTGAGAGATGCTTCATTACTGCCTCAAGTAATCATAACCAAATTTAAAGACAACATCTCATAATCATAAGATCTTTTCTCATAATTACAACATAAGATCTCATAATTACGATATCAGTATCTCATAATTATGAAATATTATCTCGTAAATTATGAGAAAAGATCTCATAAGTATGAAATAATATCTTACCATAATTAGATATTGATCTCCTAATTATAAGATAAGCTGTCTGATATTTTTTTTGCATTGGTGAATGCAATACGCTTCCATAAATATACAACCACTGAGTTGGACATTTTTAACTGTAAGGCTCCTGCATATCAGAAATAAGAGTTGAAAAAGTGAAGAGAACCAAATGCAAATTCAGGATTCAAGATGGACGCTACTTGCATCAACAGTAAGTAAGGAAAACTACTTACTAATACTTT